CATACCAGTCAACAAAGACCAGGCTACTCTAAAAATAAAACAAACGCAGGCCATCTCCAGTTTATTTAATCTCCAGACAGGGGTGAATGACCAGGTTAAAACCATCAGGAATAGAAGAGCAATAAATATCATGCAGCAAAGACAAATGAATACAGCGCAAGCACAGCTCCTTGCCATTCTTTTCTTCCTTTGATTTCTTTCTTTACACTGGATGTCTGCAGAGCTAGAGTGTAAAGTGCAGATAATTTCAGTCAGTCTGTTTACAAAACACTATTATGAGATTCAGTAACAGCTCCCACAGCTATTTGATCATCTTACCTTTGTAGCAGTTCCTCGAATAAGTCTTTTAATTGATGAGAGCAAACCAGTTTCCTTTTTCTGTGGTTTTGCGCCCATAATAGGTATTGAATCATCTACATCTGAGCGCTTCCGTTTCTTGTCTGGTCGTGATGCATGGACAGGGTTTGTCTGCTGAGAAGCCTTTCGCATTCTCAGCCTCATTCTCAAAAGGTGTCACATGAACAGCTGCAGAAATGGGGAAAACAAACTGAATTAATTGTCAATACAAAAAACACAAAAGCAACCAGTTGATCATCACATGCAAAAATCAGTATGGAACTTGTGAACAGTAAGTTAGCACTATTGAAATGGACCATTAAGGTCATTCTTCCCTCCACCCCTCACACTTAACTCGTGCATGCAAGAAGCCAAAGGAGAATCTCTTGATATTCTTAAATATAAAAATACAGTTCACTTTTAAAATGTTATTTCGCTTAAACTGATAGACTTGATGTAAAACAAAACCACTAGGTTTCAGCCACTGGTAGTCTGATTCTGCAGCTCTCTTTTGAGCCCAGAAGGCAACACATGAATAATGAACACGCTTGTTTCTTCATCTAAAGAGAAGTCTACAGTACATTCAAATGATGAGATAGCTGGATCAGATTTTCTATATGATAAAATAGGTACAGTGGAATTATTAGAATTGGTTACTACATCGAAAAAAGATCCAGTTTTGCATTTGTGCCAACTTTTTAACAAGGTTAACACTATCATTAAAGTCAGCTGCTTATCAAAATTGTTACATCTTTCATCCTTTCCTGGTTTGCAACCAGAGTCATAGAACAAAAATTGAATATAGAAGTAGCACTGGTCTAACTGCTAAAAAATTATTTATACAAGTCATTCTCAAAATCAAAACACAACTATTTCGCTAAGAAAATAAAACCACACAACTCCATTAACAATATACCCTCTTTATATAACAGACACAAAAATAATGTACCGATCAGCTACAAAGTATTCAGAAATAAATTTATCATGACATATTGAAAATATATAAGGAAAGTGATTAGATACAAGAAGTTGCTGAAAATTAAGTTCCTGAAAATAAGTTACAGAGTGGGGACTACATAGGAGCTGAGATGCATTACGAAACAACAGTTTGGCAACTACAGCTGTCAGACTGCACACTGATCAAAATCATGTGCAAAGCAAAGTTGTCCCTTTTCTTGCTTTGCAGACTTATTTTGCACATTGGAGAGTATCCCTTACAGACGGAGGACTAAATAACATTCAGCTTCTCAAATACATGCCCCATTTTCATCACCATTGCCAAAATTTGTTTCAATAAATGTCTAATTGTTTGAGACTATGAATCATCCTTGTTCAAGTTTCCTTTCTCCCATTTCATTATCGTACAAGCTGGAACCAAACCTTTCCTAGGCCACAGTTAAATTAAACAAAGACTGGGACGATGGTAGTGTTCCGTGACTTCCGACAAGGCCATTCAACTCCTGGTGTCAATACAGTTTATCCCAAATACAGACAACAAGCTGAACACCAAAGGTAAGGTGTGACTATCCACCGTCAGGACAGCACTTGAAGGAGTATGGCACCAAGAAACCCTGGAGAAACTGAAGTAATGAGAATTGGGGGAATACTCCCTGCTGGGTGAAGTCATACCTAGCAAAGAAAGATGGTTGTGTTTGTTAGAGGGCAACCATTGTAGGAGTTCCTCAGGGTAATGTGCTTGACTCAAACATCTTCAGCTACTTCAGTAACCTTCCCTCCAACAAAAGGTCAGAAGTGGGGGTGTTCATGGATGATTGCACAACATCCAACACCATCTGCGATTTCACAGATACTGAAACAGTCCATTCCTATATACAGCCAGACCTGGACAACATCCGAGCTTGAATTCATAAGTAGCAAGTAATGTATACAATTGGCAATTACCAGCTCCAACAGGAGAAATTCTATCCGTCTTCCCTTGCAATTGAATGGCATTACCATCATTGAATCCCTCATTATCATCAGACTGGGGGTTACCATTCAAGAGAAACAGACCTGGGCCAGTCATACAAATTCTGTAGCTACCAGAGGTCAGAGGCTGTCGATTCTGTGGCAAATAACACACCACCTAACTTGTTAAAGCCTATCCACCATCCACAAGCTCAAGTCAGGAGTAAGATGTAATACACTCTACTTGTCTGGATGGGTGCAGCTCCAACAACACTCAAGGAGCTCAACATCATACAGGTGTGACTACAGCCTACTTGATGGCCACCCATCCATCACCTTGAATATTCACTTCCTCCACGAGTGATGCACAGTAGCAGCAATGTATGCCATCTGCAAGATGAAATGCGACAATTCACCAAGGTTTTCTCAATGGCACCTTCCAAAGCAGCAATCTCTAGTATCTAGACGAACAAGGGCAGCAGATACACCAACACCTGAAAACTCCCTCAAAGGCACAGTCATCTGGACTTGGTACTACATCTCCCTCCATTCCAAACAAAAACTGCAGGTGTTCAGGAAGGCGGCTCATCACCACCTTCTCAAGGGCATTTGGGAAGCAATAAATTATGGTCTTACCATTGGTGTACACATCCTGTGGATGAACATTTAAAAATGTTGCTTTTTTGGTGAGGGCTAGCTCATGATTGGCAAACGTTTTCTCCCTTTTATCTCTGAGCAGAAGAATCAAGCACAGTTTTGGTTCACAGAAATGCCTCCTCTGCTCAACTCCTCCTACCTCCCCCCTAACCAATATGTTTGAATCCAAATTGATAAAAGCACTGAGCATATTCCCACTGCCCATGAGGTACGCTGGTAACTCAAGCAACAAGAAACTGTGCCACTTATTGTAAGCAATGGTCAGTTCTGCTATGAAATTAAGCCACTGATAACTATGTAGACAAAGATGTAAAATCCTGTACACTTGGGACATTTTCATCCTAAAAATCTTGCATGGAGCATAAATGCAACAGAAAATAGTTGGGTCGAATGACCTGTTTTTGTGCTGTAAAAACTATTTAATTCTATGCAAGTACAAGATTTGAACTCAATACCTAAGCAGGTAAAGATCAACACTCAAAAGGGACAATCAAACAATTAAAACTATTAAACTGAATCTTAAAAACATATAGACCAGAAAAGACAATTTTATTAACACTAAACCGTCCTAATTTGATGAAATTACAAAATATGCAACAGAATAATTAGCAGTGTTACTTCTGCAAATACATTTTTTGCAGTTATTGTGACACTTAAGAATGATTCACATGAGCAAAAACTAAGAGAATCCAATTTTACTTACAATGTAAAAAAATAGTGCAGGACAAGAGTGTGGCTTATTTTGGCATCAGGAATGAACAGGTGAACAGCACGATACAGAAACAAGTCAAGTCACGTGGTGTGAAACCTAGTAACAGAAAGAATTGGAGTGAAGAATTCAAGGTACAATGAATCTCACATTACAAAATTTCCATGAATATTTGGTAAAGTTTTTCCATACACAGCTGATCAAATTTTACTAATGACTCGCCTTACTATGAAACTACAAGATACATATTTTGTCATGTCTTTTTAGGTCCCTTAACAAGAGGGATTAGCAGAAAAAATGATCCGTGCAACAGACTAACAAAACATTATTTTTCTGGACCAAGAACACTATTTTCTGCGTCTTCTGTATCGGGAACCTGTAACATGTATTGACACTTCCACACGTCTCCTCCCATAGACCACTCTAACAAATATCAGCTTCAACTCCTAAAGGTAAGCACAGTGGTATCATTAAATGAGACATTTTTTCAAACAGTATACAGCAAACATGTTATAAAATGACCCAACTGCAGAGACAAATATAAAATCAGCACATCAGAAGTAATTATAATGCAGTAACAGAGGAAAGCATTGCAGTAAAATTACTAAAACAAAAGCAGTATTGCTAGAATGAAACTCCCAATGTTTAGGTAGGGTAGATGGTTAATCATGACAATGACAGCAACAATCAGAAAATAGAAATAGCCAACTCAGACTGACACTATATAATGGTAGCCAGAAAGTTCCAAGGAATTTTTAGAAATTAGAATTCTGTCTAAGGGGTGACCTGACAGAAATTTGTATAATTATGAAAGGGTTTGTTAGGGTGGACTTGGAAAACAAATCTTGATTTGGAGGGGAGAATGAAGCCAGGATCATAAATATAAGATAGCCACTAACAAATCCAGCAGGGAACTGAGGAAAAAGACACAACACCCAGACTGTTCAAATGTGGGCCTTGCTACCCAAGACGACATTGAGGTGACAAGCAGAGCTAAATAAACATGAGAGAGAAAAGAACAGAAGGATATGTGGATGGGGTCAGCTGAAGGAGAAGAGGAGGAGGTTTGTGTGAAACTCAAACACTGGAATGAAACTTGGGGTGAACAGCTTGTTACTGTTCTTGTTTTGGTGCTATTAGTATTACATACAGATTATGACTATTACAAGGTATCCAAGAATATTACCTAGAATTTCAGCATTCACATTCTCCCATTTAAAAGAAAAACTTTCCCAACCCCCAAAATCATGCTGGATTACAGCTCTGCGGCTAAACTATCTTCCACATAAAGCCACTGAATATTCAGATGAATCTCTTTCCTCACTACAACAATGGGAGACAAGCACAGCCAAGTCCACCATTGTCATCAAATGCAACTTCCCAGCAAGAAGCACGGAGTAATTTAGTCATTCACTGGATAAACATGCTCAACACCATTTTTAACACTTCATCAGGCCAGTTAACCACTTGCATGCAATATGTTTAGAGCTAAACTTAAAGAACATTATCAGGAGCACTGTTTTACTGATTAATCTGACTGAACAGATCATATACAGTTTTGACTATATAGGAGTCCTCCAGCACAGGAACCAAGGACAAGTCATTAATCCAATTGTAAACTGTGAGCTCCAGACCTGCTCCATGAAGTTTCTGACAGCTGTAGATACTATTGCATTTAAACTTGCTGCTGCTTTGGACTTCAGCTTTTAAAAAATTGTCAAATTCCCAACAACCAGGAAGATGGGAAAGATGAAGACCAAAAGAACGACTCTTTGCACCACAATATGCAACCTAATTACTAACTATGAAATGTGAATTAAGCCCCAGCTCCAAACCAACGGGCATCCCCAGTCTCTCAAAGTATGGATCTTCACCCAAGTTCTTACATGTTCGGCTCAGATTCTGCATACTGAGTGAAACCTGTCGACTCTTGACACAGAAGTGTACACATTCAGTTCATGGAGGTCCAGTGTGCGTGTTCAGTACTTGCAGATTTCTCGAAGTCTTAGCAACATTTCAAATTCCTGTACATCTGATTGAGCTGGACTCCTCAGCTATTCGGTGTACTGGACCACTGTGCACTTTTCACAGAAACAAGGACATAATCGTGCAATATATTCCTCACAACACCAGAAATCCTGTGTAATGAAAACAGAATTTGACTGATTCAGTTACTGCACAACAATGGCTCTAATTTAAAGTTAGGGCATTACAACATGAACTATCTTTGTTGATTAGATTATTAATCAGATTCCTTGTGGGCACAGAACACAAACCAAGTTACAATTGGTTTGTGGCATCTGTTTTCCAAACATTATAGATCAGACTCATACTGATATTACAGTGTAAAATGGAGATGCTTAGACCATAAACCTTTGGATTATAAGAGTCATTTACTCAGATGTTAAATAGACGGAGACTCGGCTATTAGATCACTCAACACATTCTGGCAGATAAAAAAATCAAGCAAAAATCCCTTTACTTTGTAGGATCTTTGTCTTCATTCATTTTCAGGATGAAATGCTGTCTGCTCTAACAGGACTGGATAGCGATACTTTATATATCCTCTGTTGCCCAGCTCTGTGCCAGGTGCATCCAATTTTGTATACATTGGCCACCCCAGCTAAGTTCAGTGGTGAATGCAAAATCAGTAAAAATAATGAAAAATTAGGGCGAACCAGGGCCATGTTTAATCATGCAGCAAGTTATTGATCTGTTTCAAAGAGCATTTCGTATAAAATGATTGCTCAGGAGAGTTGTAAAAATTGTAATTAATGTAACCATTTTGAGTAAAGTTTATTCACATACTTAGCAGGGCTTTTTTTCTCATGGTTAGTAGTGTGAACCTCAGTCTTACATAATGCATATTCATCTGTCTTCTGGATCACATGTTGAATACACAGTATATTCCACTGAGCATAAGAGTAGCAAAGTTAAAACCAAAATCCTCTTTGTTGCATTTACCCAGATGTTGGGCAGACAAAATACATTCTAGTTCATAGAGGATGGAATGTCTATTCACAAGATGACACTGTGACACACAAATACAAAAGTAGGACGTAGAGGTGCAAGCCCACATTTAACTGCTCAGATGCAGTTAATTTGCAGGGAGGACACACACAGCAAACAGCTCCACATATTCTTTCTCTTAGTCAGGTGGATGGCAGGGAGGGAAGAGATGCAACTTCAATCTTCAACAAAAACTTAGACTTAACTGTGGACCATTTTCCCTAGCCCACAGCTGTCAGGATCATATCACTTTGGAAATCATATGCAAGTTTGAAAATAATCACTGATTAGGAGTTAGCTAAAGCGTTATGGTCAAATCTAGGCACCCCATTTTAGCAACTATACTAAAGTCTTAGAGAGGATAAGGAGAAGATTTAAGTTATGTGGAAGAGCCTAGAGTTGAAGGGATTATCCTCAGAGCAGAAGCAGTTAAAAAATGTAATCAAGGTTTTCAAAATAATGACAGCTTTTGATAGGAAAATAAGCAGAGTCAGTAAAAGACAGATTTAAGATAATCAGCAAAAGAACTAAAGATTCCATGCGAAGAATTTTTGTTAAAAACTGTGATGTCTGACCAGGAATGTGTAGCATGGAAGGGTGAGTACAGCAGACAACAATAGTTAACAAGGAAGAATTCCTAGTGGGCATATGGGACACTTTCCTAGAATATACTGTGGATTCAACCAGGGATCAGGCTATCTTGGATCAGGCTATCTTGGATCAGGTGATGTGTAATGAGGCAGTTTTGATAAATAATGCCAGAGTAAAATATCCCCTAGGAACAGTGACCATAGTTGGTAAACTTTAGTATTCAATTTGAGAGAGAAGAACTTGGGTCAGAAACAGCTACAATAAGCATAAATAAAGGTAATTACAAAGGAATGAGGGCAGAGTTGGCTGGAGTGGACTGGGAAGGGAACTTAACAGCAAAAGTGGTTGAGGGAAAATGGTTAATGTTTAAGAAATAGTTCATGGCTCACAAGAAAGACATATCCCAGTGAGAAAGTAGGATTTTAGGAAGGGGATAAGCCAACCATAGTTAACCAGAGAAATGAAAAAGCTTTAAAGACCAACAAAAGATGAAAAGGGAAGGAGACAAAAACAAAGCTAAGTATTGGCCAGTTAGCTTAACGTCTATTATTGGGAAATTGATAGGTCTATTATAAAGGATGTAATAGCACAGCATTTGGAAAGCAGAATCAATATGGTTTCATAAAGGGAAAATCATGCCTAACAAATTTATTACAGTTGGAGAATGTGGATCGGGAGCAGCTGTTTGAGGGTAAATCCACATCTGACATGTGGGAGTATTTTAAGGGCCAGTTGATTAGAGTACAGGACAGGCATGTTCCTGTGATAATGAAGGATAGGAACAGCAGAATTCAGGAATCTTGGATGACAGGGGAAATTATCAGCTTAGTCAAACAAAAGCATACCAAAGGTCCAGGCAACTAAAAACAGACAAAGTCCTGAACAATATAGAGAAAGCGGGAAGGAGCTCAAATGGGGAGTTAGGAGGGCTAAAAGGGGCTATGAAATGCCCTTGGCGAGCAGGATTAAGGAGAATCCCAAGCCATTTTATACATATATTGGGAGTAAGGGGGCAGCCAGGGCAAGGGTAGGCCCAGTCAAGGATAAAGGAGGGATGCTGTTTGGAGCCAGAGGAAATGAGTGAGATCCTTAATGAGCACTTCCATTGGTATTCACCAAAGTGAGGGATGTGAGAGATGCTGAGGTTAGGCAATGGTGCGTGAATGCTCTTGGCATGCCAACATAATACAATAGGATACAATAAGATAAACTAGTCCCCAAGGCCAGGTGGGATCTATCCCAGGATACTGTGGGAGGCAAGGCAGGAAATAGCTGAGGCCTTATCAGATATTTTTGCATCCTCTTTGGCCTCAGCTGAGGTTCCAAAGAACATGAGAATGGCCTTTGTTTAAGAAGGGAAACAAAGGTAATCCAGCTAATTACAGGCAGGTGAGCTGATGTCAGTGCTGGGGAAGCTGATGAAGATACTGAGAGACAGGATTTATTCACATTTGGAAGTGAATGGACTTGTTAGTGATAGGCAGCATGGGTTTATGTGGAGAAGGTCACGTCTCAATAACTTGATTGAGTTTTTTTGAGGAGGTGACAAGAATGATTGATGAGGGAAAGGTAGTGGCTGCAGTCTACATGGACTTTAGTAAGGCAATTGATAAGGTACAAAAGGTAGAGTCTCGTGGAATCCTGGGTGAGCTGGCTAGATGGATACTAAACTGGCTTGGTCATAGAAAACAGAGAGTAGCAGTGGAATGGTGCTGTTTGGAATGGAGATCAGTAACTAGTGGTGTTCTGTAGGGATCAGTGCTGGGACCTTTGTTGTTCGTAATATATGTAAATGATCGGGAGAAAAATGTAGGTGGTTTGATTAGTAATTTTGCGAATGACACCAAAATTGGCAAAGTTACAGACAGTGAGGAGGATTGTCAAAGGATACAGCAGGATATAGGCAGATTGCAAATAAATGGCAGACGAAGCTTAATCTGGAAAAATGCTAGGTGACGCATTTTGGAAGATTAAATTCAGGTGCAAATTGTACAATAAATGGCAGAACCCTTAGAAGCATTGACATACAGAGAGAACTGGGTGCACACAGGTCCACAGATCCCTGAAAGTGGTAACGCAGATGCATAAGGTGGTCAAGAAGGCATTCATGCTTGCCTTCATTGGCAGGGGCATCGAATATAAAAGGTGACAAGTTCTGTTACAGCTGTATAAAATTTTAGTTAGGAATACATTTGGAATACTATGTCCAGTTCTGGTCGCCACGCTTTCAGAAGGGGGTGGATGCTTTCGAGTGGATGTAAAGAAGGTTTACCAGGATGTTGCCTGGTCTGGAAGGTTGTGTTATGAGGAGATGTTGGATAAACTTGGATTGTTTTCTCTGGAAAGACAGAGGCTGATGGGAAACCTTATAGAGAGTTACAAAATTATGAGGGGCATAGATAGGGTGGATAGTCAGAGGCTATTTCCCAGGGTGGAAAGGTCAACTACAAGAGGGCACAGCGTTCAAGGTGAGAGGGGGAAAGTTTAGAGGATAAGTGCAGGGAAAATTTTTCACAGAGGGTGGTGGGTGCCTGGAACACACTGCCATTTGAAATGGTGGAAGCAGGCACATCAGCAACATTTAAGGTATATCTTGATGGACACATGAATGGGACGTGAACGGGACGTGAACAGAGGGATAGAAGCCGTGTGCATGGGCAATAAGTAGTGTGTCTACATAAGGATTAGGAATCGGTGCAGGCTTGATGGGCCTAAGGGCCTGGTCTTGTGCTGTAATGAATTGTATTGGATTGGAGGAGAAAACATGCAAGATAAATAAAGGGAAAAACAGTGGATGTAATATATTTGAAATTTCAAAAGGCATTTGCTAGGGTACTACAAGTTAGGGTACTTGATAAGGGCCCATGGATAGAGGATAGGCTAACTAACAAAAGACACGGAACTGGGATAAGAGAGGCATTTTCAAGATGGCAACCTTAACAAGTGGAGGGCTGCAGGGATCAGTGCTGAGTTCACAATTATTTACAATATATATAAATGACGTGGATGAAGAAAATAAATGTATTATAGTCAAGTTTATGGATGACACAAAAGTAAGTGGAAAGGCAAGTGATGAGGATGATACGTTGAGTCTAAGAGTGGAATGCAGACCAAGGTGAGTGAGCAAACGTATGGCGAATGGAATATAATGTGGGAAATTAGAGGTTGTGTACTTTGGCAGAAAGAACAGAGGTTCTAAAGATTACTTAAATGGAGAAAGACTGCAGAATGTTACAGCGTAGAGGGATCCAGGAGTCCTCATGCATAATTTACAAAAAGCTAGCATACCAGTTCAGCAGCTAATAGGAAAGGCAAATAGAATTTAACCTTTACTTTAAGGGGAATGGAATATGCAGAATCAGCAGGTTTTCTTTCCTGAAGGGATATTAGAAGACTACTTCATGGCCATTTTCACCTTTGGTAATACCCCAAATTAACCACATTTATAGAATTCTACTTCATAAATACCATAGTGGATTTGACTTCAACATCTCTGTCTTACCAACATTTTCCTGATGCTATCCATCATACTTGAATA